TGTCAGGAGGAAGCGGCAGCTCGGAAGAGAAGTAGACATGTTCAGAAGCTTCCTCTTTCGAACGGTTCCAGGGGGGTATACCCTGGTGCAATCAACTGCCAAACCAAAGGCCGCTCGAGGTTCCGGAGCTACTGTACCAGTTGGGAAGGATCAGGTTGGGTTGGGTGAGAAATCCAAGCTTGGTATAAAAGGAGCCAGTTCTCTTAGCACCAGGGTCAAAACCAAGTGCCTGACAGTAGTCTCATTTTTTTTAGCTTCTGCTTGCTTGATATGAGGGAAGATCATAGGCTTGGGAAGGGGACGGAAACAAACCACCCTCTGATGGGAGATCTCTGAAATCGGGACCTGAAGTCTTGAGCAATCTTCATGGTGGGACAAAAAGACTTTGCACGACAGTGAGACAGCCCTTTGATATGACAGCTGAAAGATGTTGTTTTTATTAGCGCCCCTGTGGGCGCTTCCGTCGCTGTGCTTGTATCTTTCTTTGGTCGCGAGTCGGCCAGTCAGAAGTCCGGGGCTGCATTGATTCATATGGGTGTGTCTCAAGATGAAAGAGCTGGGGCAAACCGCAGGTTGAAGTGTCGCATTGATCAAGGTGCCATTTTGGGAACTCCATTTGTTGAGCCACAGCCACGTGAGCAACTGATAACCTTATCGGTCGGCAGTGTTGGTTTGGGCAACCACCCGAAGTAAGGTGGACCACCCGATTCTTCCAAGTTTGGTCAAACCAGTGTATGGTCCATGTGCACGGGACATGGAGAGGTCGTAATTTCTCCAGACCCAGGGCACTCTCGAATTTCACAACTGCAGGGCAACAGCAAATTCTTAACTTGGCCCATGCCTTCTGGCTGAACCAGCATTTTCCCATGTCCTGTTTAAGCAAAGGATAAGGCTGAACAAGTGTTATTAGCCCTGGTACCTTTTGGGTCACCCGCTCAATGGGTTCTAACCAACGCGTTCCTTTCGGATGCGGGGAACACATGGCTGTCCGTTGGTGCGAGCCTTCTAGAAGCCGTTTTTTTGAATCCATTCAACGGGTCTCCTAAAGTTCGGGAATCTATAACTTCCCCCCGTTTCATGTGGGGAAGCAACAGATGCCAACATGTCCCTTAGAGAATCATCTGTTTGCCAAGGTGTCCTTTGGTTCGGCTAGTTCGGTTCATGAAATAAATGGGTTCCACTGGTTTCGACCGGAGAAACCCACGGTTTATGTCAGGCCGTGCCTGGCGCTGTCTTCGCGTGTCGAGGATCGGCTCACCGTGGCGACGCTGCTGCAGGTGCGGGACATCCTGCGGGTCCGCGCCACCTGCCACCCGGATCTCGCGCCTCGGTTGGTGCGGTGCGCTGGCACAGACGAGATAACTTAAGCCACGTGCTCAAAACCCGGGGATCGATGAAGGTTAGAAAGGGGCAGTCCCAGCCAGAAATAGTTGCGGATACCCGGCTTCAATCTTCACGTGGTGGGTAGACCATTTTGGTACCGGGTTTTGATGGTGACTCACTTGATTTGTGTTCCCGACGAATCCTCCGTTTCCGCTGGGGTAGCTGGGGCCTCCCCCACCAGGCTTTCAGGTTTGAATAAGCCTTAGACAGCTCAGAGAAGTGGATGCACAAAAACCAACACCTATGTCATAGGTGGTTGCACAAGTAACTATTGATCCGTCCCAACTGGTGAAGGTATTCGTTTCACAGTATCAGTACCTCTTGTTCATCCTTGGCTCCCTGGTAGCCCACTTTGTGGATACATACCTACTTCTTTTGCAGAGGGGTATGAACGGCATGCCCTCCCGGGTTCTGTACTCAAATTACATGGGTGCAAATGCCCTAGAACAAGGGACATAAGTCTGCAGCCCCAAGCCTCTAGTTACTTAGTCGCCCCAAGCAAATGGACCTTTTAAGCTCTTGGTGTCCCTGTGGTTGTCCATATTTCGTCAAGGTTCCAAAAGGTGATCACCTTGTATTTGCAGGTCCTTTGGGCAAGTGAGGCAATGATATCCCAATGAAGTCTTCACTCCCCAGTGAAGATGCTTGAACACAAGCATCCGGTTTCTGAGTCAAGCTCAACTGCGTGGCAGATAGCTGGACCTGGACAATCGAACAAAACCACAAAACACACAAAGACAGCGCAAAAGAAAACCGCCACCAAGCAAAATGTGTCAAATTACAGCTGCGCGCCAAAGAAGGAACGCCGAAGTTTCCCTTGAAGTTTCCCCTTCAAGGTGGCTGTGGGTCAAAAATAGGTACCCCAAATTGAACCCTGGTAAGTGGTAAAATCTGCGGTCCCCTGGTGGATAAATTTTGACCCATACCCAAATGAGACAAAGAACGCCTCCCAAAACGCGCCGCGGCCGCATCCGCCCATCTCCCTTTGGGCTGAGGTGATCCTACCCCAAGTCCTGGGCAAGCGAGGGGAGCGGAGCTGCTGGAAGAGCCTCCGCATCCCATGGAGTCGGTTTCGATGTTGTTTGGGCTAATTGTGACTGTGTGTGTGTGTGTGTTTTTCTTCGGGTACCCTGTTTTGTTTGTGGGATTTACAAGGGAAGCCAAAAAAACCCAACCATTTGTGGGGCGGGGGGGGGCGGGAGACACACCCAGTTGCATGAGAACATGCGGTGGCTGGTTGGAAGGGAGCCGCGCGGAGGGGGCCCGTATCCAAATGTGTTGTTGAAGAGGGAGCGCTACCAGGATTTTCTGCAAGGACATGGTAGTGGTGTTTGTTTTTCGGAGTTGGGCGACCTTTTTTGGGGTTGGTGGGAAGACTTGGGAGGCTCGGCTCCAAGAGTCAGGTAACCCTTTGTTGGTTTGGAGCCCGGCGGTGTTTGGTTCGGATTTGAACTCAAACACTCTGGAGCCATGTTTCTTCTCCATAGGCTTGACCTTGTCAATTTGTTCGCCGCCTTTCAAGGGGTGCTTGATGAAGAAGCAGGCGCACCCCCAATGGTAAAAGGCGGGGCGGGGTCCTGGGATGGTGCTGTTGTGCGTGGCCTGTGGTTTTTCACCCAACACCCCAGACCATTGAACTACGAAACGGGTTCGCTCCTTCATTAAAAACAAAAATGAACACTCCCCAGACCAACAACGAACAAGGCAAAACAAACCCAAATGTCTACCCTTTGGCAAAACGATGTATCAGCTCCCCAAAACCCCTCTTTTGAAACCGAAGAAGGTGGTCAACAGGTTTGAGATGAACGTGCAAACCAAGCCAACACGCAACTCCAACATGGACGCGGTACCCAGGAGTGGTTTGATCGACTACATCAACTCCAACAAGCTGTCGTGCCAGGTGCTTGCCCAGGCCACCAAGAGACCGCTTTCTCGTGTTGGAGTTGGCACCCCCTGGGTTGTTTTGAAGGGCCACCAAAAGGATAAAAGCGTTGAGAGAGCCATTGGGGGGTCCAGACACCCAATTTGGCGGGCTTCCTCGTGCTGGGGATTACCCATCCGCGTGGGTGTGGCTTCGGGAACGAGGGAGGTCAAGTTGGGGTTGGTGATTGACAGATCCCAGGACCCAGGTTGGTTCTCCCACATGTACTGGGGCTAGCTTTTACTGGTCTCCAAGAGACCAGTGAGCTTGGCTGGCCATTTAGCCAACTCCCAGACTGTCCCTGAAGGTTGCTGCAAGAGACCATTCGAACTTGGATGCCCGGACATTGCCGGCACGCGAGCCTTTGTTGAGTCAGAAGACTTCAACTTCTAGGCATCTTCGCCATCCGAAAGCCCAGCAATTCTTAACTCGTGGTGTTTCCTTCTTCAGATCAACTCCACAGGCCCAGGCCAGGCAAACGAGCATACTCTTGATATACGCGTTGTTTGGGGACCAGCATTGTCGACCAAAACGCATGGGACCGGAACAACAACCAGATTTCTCTATGCCCGCTCGTGCAAGAGAATGTATTTCTTTCTAGCTGACAGACATGTGTTCTGGCTGTGTGGTGTTTCCTTCTCGGATGGTCCCAGCTGGCGCCAGGTGTGCCAAAGCCTCCCGGCTCTTCGAACCTTGTGGGGCGTGGGCATTCCATATACCGCTGGGGTTGGGCGGTGTCCAGCTTACAGCGACACGATCAATTTTGGTGTCCCTGCTTGTTTTGGGAGATGCTCATGCCGGTTGGGATTAAAAACAAACACAAGTAGCAAGCTCACCTGGGGGCAAAGTGAGCGCATTCATGTTGAAGGTCCGTTGCGTGGGGATTGTGAGTTACACTTATTTGCCCAGATGACTGGTACGGCATGCTACTTGTTGGTGGCGACCCAAGCACATGACGTGGCACTTGTGATTTGCCCACAAGGCAATGGCTGATTCGCTGGAGGTTCTCAGAACGTAATTTCAGCATTCAAAGACGTCGATAACTTCTGGGGACGGATGTTCGTAAGATGAGCGGAATACCTGCCTTCTATCATGGCCATATCCTTGTCACTATTTTCTTTTTCGCTGCGAGGCCGAGACAACCTGGACCTTCGCTTTTGTTCAGCTTTCCATGTCCAAACAAACAATGGCCATGTTTACGGCATTCCCAGCATACCCAAAGGACCTTAAAGTTGAGAGCTTAGAGGGATGCATGGCAAATCCCACCAAAAGCGGTGATCCTGTCTTGCGCCAAAGCGGCTCTTTTCCTCCTTTCGGTTTTGGAATTTGCCATGGACCCAGCCCAAGATATCCAAAACACGGTGTTACAATTTTGGACGGTCCGTTGGCTTCCTGCTAGACCCATTGAACCCATGGATGTTGGAGGTCTGAAACTCAAAGGTGTGCGATGAGGAGACACCCCCCCCCCTCACGTGTTGTTTTGGCCATGTTTTGGCCGTGCACCATCCCTCGTCTTTTCTGGCCTTCCTGTTTGTGGCAATGTTCCCCCATTTGCTGAATCTGCAATGCCCACCACAGATGATGGCTGAATGCTGAAACTTCCCCCGCAGGTTTTGTGGCATCGGTGTTTTCATTTGGGCCAAGGCCCCTCCATTTGCGGCTTGTTTGCTGACTTGCTCTTGGGCAACACTGGCCGGAGCCGTGGCAGACCGAAGCACGTGCTTGGACTCGACCTGGAAAACCCCTCATTTTCAGGGATCCCATAGGGGTTACTTCTCCATCCTTGGCAACCATGGAAAGCTGGGTTGTTCAAAGGTCCTTCCCTTCAGTTCCGGAAGGGGTCTCTTAGCGGCTTCCCTATAGGGATTATGGATTAGGATTGGCCAACCCTCCATTTTGAGCTGCCCATGAAAGAACTTCTGAAGATTTCGGAGGAGGTACCAAGCTGCCCAAAGAGCCAAAGGGGTTGCCAACGGCTAGCTGTGGCGTCCCACGGTACTGCCAGGTTTGGGCCAGAAGGCCTGGTTCACCAACCTCCGTTTCGGACTTTAGTTTCCTTTTGGGTCTGGACCATTCTGGTGGCAAACAAAAAGCTGCGGATGTGTTTTTGTTGCCAACCCATCGAGGTCTCACTGGGTCTTGTCCAATGCCATTTTATATGGGGTAGACTGGACATAATATGACCAGAAACAGAGCATCGGAGTTTCTACTCCAGATGTGGGCCAAGTAGCCCGAGTGGTTTCGATTTGCTCTTCTTTGGCGCCTTGTAAGCCTAAAGTCCGTCTAGAATCCGATTCGTTTGGATATGCGTGTGCCCAAGAATGAATCGGAACCCTATTGAAGCCCTATTGATTTGGTGTGGCTTTTTGGTGCAGCCTACGAAATAGATATTGTTCAGCACGTTTGGCGGAGCAGCCCCGTCACTCTCTGCGGCACTTCCTGGTGGTTTTTGCTAAGCCATGACAGGACACATCCCGAAACTTGCGGCTGTTTAGGGGTGGAGCCATTCGGATTGGCCATTGATGGAAGCAAGATGGGTCCAATCCAATCGCCAGCGAGTTACGCCTCTTTGCCTCGGTGAGTTGAAGCAACGAAGATGCGGTCCTCCCGAAATGGATCATCCATCCGCTTGGACCCGCTTGTTCGAGCCATAGGTTTGGCCGCAAAAGCTTGGGGCAAAGCTAGGCTTGGTTCCCCCGGCTGAATGCCTCAACATGGAACCTGAGCCGGCCCAGGACCAATGTCCAGTTGCTGTGATTTGATCAAAAGCGGTTTTTGGTGGTGACTTGGTCAGCCCCCGGGAAGCCGTGGAAACAACACAGGGCCCCGAAAAAGCAGTCGCGGCTCGAACCAGGTCCCCATGCCAAGGTTCGGAGCGGGAACAGGAGCCAAAAGGCGACTGGAGGTTTCCTTTGAGGCGATTTGTCGTGTTTTGGTTTACTTCTCCTGTTGGGGTGGTTGAGCCTTTCGAATGATCCGAGTCTTGAAAGGAGCAGGAGTCCTGTCCCAGTCACGAGGTGGCCCCAAGTGGCTCGGAACAGGCCCATCTCAGAGTATGACATGTGGAAACCCCACGCAAGGGGCGTCGTTTCCGAGTGTTCTTCTTGGGAGTGGCCAAAAAACACTCAGTTGCTGCAAAGTGACAGGGATCCCAGGAGTAAATCGGTTGGTGGAGGCCCATTCCCTCTCCTGTTTGAGGGAAATCCAAAGGAACCCGGCATGTTGGGGCTCATTTGGCAGTGGGTCAAACCCAATGGTACCATTTTGGGGTAGGTGCACCACTCATTTTAGTCTATTTTAGTGGGGATTGGGATGTTCACTGGGGGTACGATTTGGATTTTGACCCATGGCCACTTGCAGGGGAACCGTTGAGTCGACAGCCCAAGCCGCAGCCATCTGAGCGAGCCAAGTTCCGGCACGGCCTGTGCCATGCCGCAGAGGCGGCGAGTGGTGCTGGCGTCCAGCAATGAACTCAAAGTGGCTGAGCTTGCACGCCGCTGCGCCGGAAAGAGAAACCAGCCTTGCTTGACTGCTATTGGGTTGGATCTTTAGACTTTAACTTTTTGGGAAATCAAGGGGTTTTCTTAACAAACACTTTTTGCAGGGGGTCAACAGCAACCAAGTTTGGCAACCAAATATCGCAACCAAATATTGCGCTTCATCAGTATTTTTCTTTTTGTTTTCCTGTTGTTTCCCTAACCCGCGGAAAGTGTTGTTCAGGCCTGGTGGAAGATGCAAATGAGGGGTCTCTCCTGCCACCGAAAACACCTACGCCGAACGAACTGGACGCAGTTCCCAGCCATACCTGATGTTCATAGTTGGGTGCGAATGGATGGCGCAATTCCCCCATGGTGGTTTAGTCATCCCCTTGACTTATCGAGACAAAGGGAGCAGTGCCATGCACTTTCACCCTAGATGTATAGGGTTTCGAGGAATGTGTGATGTATCTTACTAGTATTTTGTTCAGCGAAGGTTCAACGAACCTCGAAGTTACCATAGTTTAGATATCAGGAAGAGACCTCACTCAACAGACCCATTTACATGATCAAGCGTTGGCAGATTCTTTACACCATTGAGGCCATACTCCGTGGTTGTCTCCTGGGGCTTGGGCGTCCATTTGTCCAAATATATGTCATGTGTTGGGGAAGACTGAACATGGAGGCAGAACCTGAAGGGATCATATTATGTTACCCTGCCACCAATAAAGGGAGAAGGGTCCAAACCAGGACCCCCTGAACGTCAGGTTCCATGCTACTTGGTGGGAGGGTAGTAACCAGGTTGAGCGACATTCAAGTCAGGTTCCATGTGAGCGGCGGGTTTGTTGGCCGCGGCAAGGATGCGGAAGGGTCCGCGGAAGCTTGAAGAATGTCCAATCAAGTGGTTGTAGGTAATAAAAGCCAGCGGCGGTTTTTTTGGCCGCAAGGTAATTTAGTCGGGAGAGGGACATTATTGTTGATTTGCACCGCTCGGTTTTTTTCTTTCAAAGAATGTCCCATCAAGTTTGTAGGGAATAAAAACCAACACTTTCCATGTGAAATGTTTTTTGTGGGCCGCAAGCTAGTTTAGCAGGGAGCGGGACATTATTTTTGAACATGTGAACCGGGTTCCATGTGAGCGGTGTTTTTTTAGTCACGTCCAATCAAGTTTGTAGGGAAAAGAAACCAAAGCACATGTGAAGTGTAATTACCCCATCCGCGAGGTTCCTTATCCAACTACGACATCGAGATCGTGCGCGATGCCCATGCCGCGGATTCTGAGGAGGCCATCTGGGCCAAGCTGCACGAGCGGGGCGAGGAGCTACTCGGCTTCGACCTGCCAGTGTGGTTTTTCCAAAACGCGTTGCCTTTGAACCGGCAGGTCTATTTTTTTTTGGGGGGGGGCTGTGGTGAGGGTTCGGGGGCGGGGGGGGGGGATCCTTTTGTTTTTTTTCTGGGGGGGGGGGGGCGGGGTTGGGAGGGGTGTTGGTCGGGTAATCGCAGGTCTGAGTCAACATCAAAACGAAAGGGTACTTGGAGTGTAAGGGACAATCCCAGCCATAAATGGGTACAGATATCCGTTTCAAGTCTTTACACGGTTCTGGGTAGACCGTTTGAGTACCGGGTTTTGAAATTATGACTCTACTGTTTGCGGGTGGTCTGGCCCAGTGAAAAGCTTGACCGCACATTGCCATGGAACCCTGGGATACCCTCCCAACAAATATTGAAGTGCACCGTCCCCTTCCAACAGCTTTGACTTATCCTAAAAGCACATGTTTGCTTCAAAGTCATGCTAACACCGCATGTATATTAATACTTTAAAAAAATGAATTGCTTACAATGTATCTTGCACATATAGAAATGACAAAAGCCGCACATTCAATGATCAGCTGTACGTATTCGGCATATGTGCAACCCCGAAACCTCGGCTGTTCAACCCGCCAGACTTGGCTATGAACTCGTGTGATTTCTATCCGTCTCCAACTTCTACAAACTAATATATATATATATATATATCTCTGCAAAAATCCGTGCATTTCCTTGAAATCTAGACATTTGAGCAAAAACTGTACTTTTCTTGCAGGCTCAACATAAGACACAGGAGCATTTAACTACCTTTTTTCTACAAGAATCTCACTTTCAGCTCCGGCCATGGCACTGGAGATTGTCATGCTCATACCATTTGAAGATTTGCAATTCACCAAGGACAAAAGGTGCGCAGTTTCTCAAGAAAATGTTCCGCTGATTTCCGTGCATTTTCCGCAGATTTTCGTACTTGTCCCGCCGATTTCCGTGCATTTCCCGCCGATTTCCGTGCATTTGCGGTTTCTGCATTTTGGCTGAGAAAACTGCAAACTCGCAAAAGCGGCAAGGAAGCTGTCACACATTGCCCCACAGCAATTGGAGACGAAAGACCTGAAACGGAATTAAGTATGACGGGCCGTGTAAATTGCAAACTGTGTTCATGTGCATCCAAGTGCACCACAAACGCTCACAGCCTGCTAAAAGCGATTTCCGTCAAATTTCCTGGAAAGTGTACATTGACACTTTTTTTTGCATGTACGGAAATTTCAGTACTTTTGGAGGGTTCAGGTATATATATATATATATGTATATAGATGTGTCTACAAAACAAATGATGGCAAACACTGTCAACTACTTGGAAGCATTGTGCAGGGACGCGCATATGTTAGAATTTGGGAGATCTCAGATAAGGGGTGGACATGATTCAAAGCTACCATGAGTACCAGCATGTTGTTCTGTATTGTCGTAAAACGAAAATGGTTTTCTATTATATAGAAAGCTTTGCAAATTTATAGGCAGGCATCTTCACCATCTGCGTCGCCATGAACAGTGCTTCTGAATTTGCAGGAAGTCTTTGCAAGTGAGGCTCTAAACGAAGAAAATATCTTTGCACGTGGGCAGGAATTCGCTAATGTGTCCCTCAGTTCCCCTTGTTACCTTTGGCCATATTGCTGATAGCCAAGCCAGCGTTTGGGCCATCATTTGTGGTAGCCTCCCTCGCCGTGATCTAGTTCCATTTACTTGGGGATCCGATTCTTGTTTCAGGTTTTGGACAGAAAACTGTCCAGAATCCTTGCGCGCATGTTGTCTTTCTTTGCTGCTTGTTTGGTGGTTCACCCAAGGGAAACCCGTTGGACTCACTTCTTTTTTTGGGGGGGAAGACCATTTTAGTGGAAAATCTGGAGTTTGAGCTTTT